TCATTCTCATGTCATTTTCTACCGGGGTAACATTGACAACCTTTTTTGTTTCAAACAAGTGTTGTTATTCACGTAATATAATCACAAGAGATGGTACAAAGACTAAATTGGAGTGATAAGACCTTGCAACCCAAACTGGGTTATTTTTTGGTCAATTTTCATAGGGGTATCATTGACAATTTATTTTCGTTTCTCAAAAAGTCATTGGAACATTTAGAAAAGTTTTTTTCCTCTTCATTTTTGTCTCTTATAATATTCACTAGAGATTATACTAAGATTAAAATTGGGAAGAAAAAAATTTGTAGCAATGTGTATAAGACCTCACAAACCAAACCCTTCAAGACCCTAATCGTGCCACTAAAAATATTATGCGGAAAAATTGAGTTATGCTCCATGTTCTTTTTTTATGATAATAAGAGAACGGCTCAACAACCATAAAAACTGCTTTCTCATTTTAGTATTCAATGAAGACCAATCTAAGACTTCAATGAAGACCAATCTAAGACTATTCAATGAAGACCAATCTAAGACTAAAATAGAGAAGGAAAAAATATATAGCGATGTACATAAGACCTTACAATCCAACCTCTCCCGTGAATACCTTAATTAGGTCACTAAAAGCATTTAGCAATATCTTAGGTTGATATTTTGAAAAATATTCAAATTTGATAATTTGACACATGCCATTTTTAAGGAATACCATTGGTAACAAGTTAATGGAATGTTTAGAAAAACTTCTTTCTAGTTTTATTCTCTTACTATATTTACTAAAGATGGTACTATAAAGACTGTATATGCATCCCCTCACAGTTTATCTAATCTTTCTAATCCTCGCACATACAACGTTATGCAATAGGCTAAGGAGTAAAAACTTGAAATTGGCACGGGCATGCAAACTCATGTACTGCATCATTTCTTGTAAACTAAACATATCGTCTATCCTCCTAAACTACTTTTGACAACAAATATTGACCTCCAATCTAAACTAATGGTAGATTCTTGTTCTCACTTATACATACGCCTCCTTTAATTTTCAGACTATCATATCAACAATCCCAGTAAGTACACTGCAGTTCTAGAAACTAGATGGAAGTTTGAGGGATTCACAGAATTTTGAAGGGCATAAAAGGAGGAAAGAACTTGAATCAATTCTCAGCTACTGCTAGATAACAGAAAAATAACCTCCAGATAACAAATTGTACCTGATTAAATTGGCGTTTTACGAATCGAGGCACAAAAGTTGCCGGAAATGTGTATAACTATCAACTTTTGTTTCCTGACCAGTTTTTCTAATTAGAAAACTTCGCAATCAACTTGTCAACATGGAGGACGATATCATCGATCCGAGGTCGAACTGCAGCCTGCGGCTGAAGCATCCATTTTATAAACTGATGGAGAGCATCAGGATATGGAGGATTAGGTCCTGCTGGCCATTTGATTTGTGCATTTACAATTGCCAATTGAAGGCTTCCACCAGATTCTCCAAGTGCATACTCAAATGGAGATACCCCATACCTAATCATGAGAAGTTACCCAGTAAATTTTAGTTTATATATGAATGATGTGGTGAAATTTGATGCACTACATCCAAATAACTAACCATTTGAGATCACGTGGTAGCATTTGGCTCAGTTTCTTCCTAGATTATAACTATTTCATAAGCTAACCCACATTTAAATGGTACTTTTCATATTTGGTTCAGGCCGTGAAGTTACTGTACATTTAACTAAAGGCTTGTTGGTGAGAAATGGCAGTTTTGTTTTCTATGATCGCCACTAGCAGATTTGTTTTCTCATCATTGTACGAGCATACTATCGCATTCTCCAAAAAAATTGAGATGATTTCAATAAACTCCAAGGAAAATTATTACTACTCACATTATTGCATACAAAGTACATCCCAGTGACCAGATATCAGTCCTCTCATCGATGTCTGCATGGCTTGGACAATCCCATAGCTCTGGTGCTCGGAAAGGTGCCGAACAATGCTCAGATGCCCATTCCTATAAAACAAATGAGATTAAGTTCACTAAATTTAGTATGGAATTTTACTGTGAAATTAAGGGTAATGATGTCTGAAGATCTATTAGTTCTCTTGCAAGAAACCCATAAAGAACTACATTGTATAATTATCGCGGCAGAATACGAGAAGATCCTGTTAATAGTAATTACTAATTAGTATGGGAAAAGAAAGAAGTAGAATCAATAACCTGCAATTGGAGTGCCTCTGAACGAGAATGAATTTCACTTCTAGCAGGTCGAGCACTGCCAAAATCCATCAATATTGCATGAGGTGACTTTCCTTTTCTATGAGTTAAAAGAACATTGCCAGGCTTCACATCATTGTGTGCATAAGGAGGCTCACTACTGTGCATATGCTTAAGCCCTGCACAGAGCTGCAGAAGGGTTTTTTTTTTTTTTTTTAAATGAACTGGTTTTAAGAAAACTCGTGAAAATTTAACCAACTATGACAGGGATGAGGATAAGTAGGAACGTTCCATGGTAACTTCAACATCACTTGGAGCAAAGGCACCATTTACAGCGTTCAGAATTTACTCCTTTAGGTGACAACTAAAAAGCAACAATGGATAGCAATTACCTGGCGAAATATTTCCAGGACATCCACAGTAGAAAAGAATTCCTTCTTAGCCTTCATGGTCTGGGCATTGTCCAGTAATGTTCCATCCAAGTGAACTGGAAATAATAAGTAGGCTTCATGTTTTACAGATCCTTCAGTAGATGACTATCCCATAACAAAAGAAAAAAGGGTCAATGGCAATACTATACTAGAGGTTAAGGATAGTTGATCGCAATTATTTACTTGAACCAGAAGCATAAGTGATAATGTCTGCACTAACTCAAAAACATATAATCATAAGAGTCAGAAAGTAAGCCTTTTAAACTAAAAAGAATGTTGACTTTTCAGCAGCAGAACAAGTTTTGAGTTTCATTAGACATTGCAACATTGTAATGACAGGTGAAGTCCAAAAGTTTGCATTTAGAAAAGATACTAGATTTGCTAACCAATATTAATCAATCCATCCAACCCTAGTCCATACAAGAAGTGTAGAAGATAAACTTTTTGTTCTATTAATTGAAAGCAAGATACTAACGTCTGCCAGGAGGATGTCCCTTTATAGGAGTTCCTTTCACTTCCTACTTCGACAAGGATATTATGATTCCATTTCAAAAAAATTTGGCATAAGTAGCAATCTACAACCTTCAAAACTGGTAGGAACGAAGAGATCAAAAGATTTAAAACTATGAAATTACTTCTATAATTGGATATGAAAAGTTTCAAGAGCTATAGATGTGCAGATGCCCTATGCATGAGTGTTAGCACATAATCTCCAATGAAAAGCTCACATTCAGATATGAGACAAGATGAACCAAAGTTTCATTATTGCTGTTTGACACTAAAACTAGTAGCCAAAGTCGAGTAACACCACAGAAAGTAGAAATTTATCTAAGAGAATACAATTACTCATAACTCAAAGCAGACATAGCAAAACCATCTCCAGCCACTACCTTAACTGCAATTATAGCATGGTCAAGAAGTGGAAGTAGATTGGGATGACTAAAAAGCGACGAAACACGTATCTCCTCCCTCACCAGCTCCAATTGTTCACTGCTCTGAATCAGTACCTTTTTTAAAGCATAAGTGCCATCACCTACAGAAGAATCGAACTCATTGGGCAGAAAGCAAAAACTAAAAATCAACAACAAAGAGCAAGAGACAACATTGGAACCCAGTGGCCGCAAAAATTGCTCATATCTTTAGACAAATTCAAAACACCCAACACCGAACCCAAATTTAAATCGCGGAGAATCAAAGTGAAGCATTTCTAGGTCCATTTCAAAAGGGCCCAAATCAGACAACGCAACGAGGGATTCAAAAAACACAGATTACGGAAAGGAAGCAGACCAGAAAGACGAGATGGGTCCTTCAATTTCTTGGCGAGACCTCCGCCAGAGGCTGAAGACGAGTCGGAAATAACCTCTTTGACCAAAAACACAAAGGCAAACCCACCTTCTCCGAGCTGCCTCACGATCCTAAACCGATTCTCGTTGATCCAAATGTCTCCGCCGCCATTGACAGCATCGTACAGAGCATTCAAGCCAGAAAAGGAGCAGCCCATTTCCCCCTTTAGCGAGAGCAAAGCATACAGATTCAGAAGGGTTGAAAATTCTTTGAATCTATGGATGGAGTGATGAAATCAAGGCAGATTGAAAACCTGACTTCATGTAAATTGAAAAGGATCGGGAACTGAAAGTGCGATTTACGTTACCCTATATATACATTTGCCCTGAAGCTTTGCAGGAGGGTTGCTTGGTCTTTGACCTGTGGGAGCAGAGACTTGTTGGGTGTGTCACGCTATTACATGGATTCACTGCGGCTTTTGGCACACTCAACGCAACCACTGCCCGCCCATACTCCCACAAAATTATTTTTCCCTTTTAGCACAGAACATGTACTTGAACTTCTTTCCCCCTTTTTTTTCTTTTTTATTAAATTCCAAGTCTCTCCTTTTAAAAATATTCATATTCTATTAACTTCAAAAAGTATGTTATAGGGTTAAATTCAAAATACTAAAAATCAATTTAAATCTTATGTCCAATTGTTTCGAGGAAAAAGGCCATTACACATAATTAAAGAATAATTTCAAATATAGTTCGTCACTATGGATGGAATTCCAGCGATATACAATACATTAAAAGGATTATAATTTGGATTAATGGATTATAATTTGGATTGTATACATACACCATCTTCGTAAAAACTATTCCACAAATGCCACGGCAACAGAAATTGATGAACAGAATAAGAATTGAAAACTTGCATTGGACCCGACGTCTAATTTTAGAGAAATTTAATCCAACTGCAAGGCCCTTTAACCATTGCTTCAAAGAGGTGGTTTGGACCGTCCATTAGATACACATGGCTGCATATCAAATGATGCAGCATTTATCCAAGTTCTTGCAACACATAATTGATTCCACTACTTAATAAGGCTATGTTCTCTGGCCAATTCTATTGAATCACTCAGTTTCTTAAAAGAATATCAATCCACCGACTGGATTCTGCGCAGTCTGAGAAACTAAGAATGTTCAAACGTGACTACTGGACTAGATGGAAAATATCAACGGAGATAGAAGGTTGCAGTAGAAATGGCATAGGCCAATCAAATTTTAAGTGAAACAGAGTACACTACTAACCAATTCGCAGAAGAAAGCTACAGGTACATTGAGGGTAAGTTAAAGAACAATGGCTTTTACCCTTCAGAAAATACTACTTGTAAGTTCCGATACTTCTGCTACAACTTGGTCAAACTCAGCCTTGAGTTTCTCTTGTTCAGTTGATCCAAGCTCCCCTTTGTTTGGCTTAGTTTGTATCAGAACACAACATGTTGGCCTCTTGGTCGACCCGGCATTGGCAAGATCCTGAAGAACACACGTGATTAAACACCTTTTGTTATTATCACAAGGAACGGATAATCATGGCAAATTGTGGTCGAGAAAACTTAGAAGGTGCTATGGAAATTGAATCATGTCAAACTTAAAACTCAAGTAACAATGACATAGCATAAGGATAAAATTAAGAACTGATCCACGAGCAATGAACAAATTGGTAGCCATCACTTCTCTCCTTTCTCAACTACTTTGCATATCACACCAAAAACTAAAAAGCAGACATTCCCATAGATTAGAACATGAACAATCACTTACTTCCTTGGAAGGAACATAAACGTAGCGAATGTCTGCCTCTTCACATAAGATTGGAACATGAGTGATCACATCAATGGGGGATATGTTTCCAGCTATTACACAAAACCTGCATTGTATAAAACAAAAGGAGGGCAAAGCAATTAAAAATACCATACAGTAGAAGGAATTTAAGGTATTACATACGAAGTATAATGTTGTAAAGGCTTCTTTTGATTTTAATCCATCCAAAAACATATCATAATGTACCTAAAAAAAGCTATTGGAAATATATTGTCCATGTAACAAACAAATCCATAGCACAGCTACTATACTCAATGGTATGACATTCAGTATTCTTCCTTCCTTGCCCATTTGCAAGACCCACATTCCCATTGTTATATCTTTAGCATAATACAAATCCCCAATAGACTAAAAGTAAGATAAATAAAAAACATTGCGGAAATTACCCTTTTTGTCCGCGCCTTATGCTTTTGACCACCTCCTTCACCCCCCGCTTCAAGCACTTGTATTCAGCAGCTGAAAGAACAAGAACGCAACTTATGTATATTTAATATAAAAATCACATTTATGAAGCAAGAAAATGAAAGGACAGAAACCAGGCCATACAAAGAACGATGCCAAAATGAATATTAACAAGTACAAACCAAATAAAATCAATCCCCTTATGCGGACACTCATTCGCTGCTTTCGAATACAATATACTTTACTATCAAATGGCATAAAAGGCACCGACACGATCGTGATTAAATGAGCTACCCTTAGCCAAGCAAGAAACATAAATGTATCACTCTGGTTCATTACCAGTTTACAGATACAAGGAGTAATCCCCATGGAATGACGGCAAAAGAAACAATAAAAGTAATTCGAGCTCAAAATTCGTACAAACAAGCAGCAAGGCCTCCAGTACACATCGAGAAAAGAGATGGAATACCTTTACGAACAAGCTTTAGGGTGCGCTTGCAGAGCTTCTTGCCGGCAAGGGGTTTAGCAATTGGTGCAAGAGCCAACAGCTTCTTCTTCTCCTTTTCTTTGTCCTTCAGATGCGACTTCTCTGCTTCGCTGTCACTCACCATTGGGTTGGATGAAATAGAACTGCCGGAGCTAAGAGGGATTTGTGAGGAGGACGTATATGGGCGTCTGCTCGGGATTCTGGCTTCCGCCCCATCTTTATTACTAGGGTTTAAGAGGGGGAGACTGGGTGCAAAACCAGTCCCCACGTGCAAAGCTTTCGCACGCTTTAGCCCAATGATATTCTTTTCGTGGACCCGATTGGTTGGGCTTTAAAAGGCCCAATAAGAGTGGGTTCTTGGGGCTAAGAAGATTATGGCCTTTTCTTAAAAATTAAATTAAATTACATTTTATAATTGCTTTCTCCACCACCACTATATCATCGAATTGATTCTATAATTTATATTATTTTTAAAAAGAAAAATAAAAAAAAACAAAGAGGCATGCAATCTCAAAAGCCCATTTTGCCAACTCAACATTCTTATATAAATAAGACTCGTGCACTCTCAAAAGTCTTTCTAACTTCTTTACTCCAAAGGTTTTGGTAAAAAGCACACGCAACTCCCAAGTTTCACATCAACTATAATTGTGTAATTATATATCCTTCTTTGGGTATGGATTTCTGAATGGTAAGACTGGTGTTGTTCTCTTTGTGTTTTTCCTTTTGGATTTTCCTTCAAAGTTTTAAAAAGATGTAGGCTAGGGAGATGTTTTCACACCCTTATAAACAATGTTTTGGAATCTCATCCCTTCGTGGTCCAGCGTCCTCGCTAGCACTCATTCCCTTCTCTAATCGATGTGGGACCCCCTCAATCCACCCCTCTTGGGGCCAACGTCCTCTCCCCCCTCCTCCCTTTTGGGCTCAGCCTTCTTGCTGGCACATCGCCTAGCGTCTGGCTTTAATACCATTATAACAGCCCAAGCCCACCGCTAGCATATATTGTCCTCTTCGGACTTTTTCTTTCGGACTTCCCCTCAAAGCTTTTAAATGAGTTTGTTAGGGAGAGGTTTCCACACCTTTATTAAATAATGTTTCGTTCTCCTTTCCCACCGATGTGGAATCTTACTTAAATATCCACACATCTACGTGACAATATATCTTTTTTATAAAAATAAATTTTATGTGAAATGGTTGAAAATGTTGTTCAAAACTACATACTACATAGAATTAAAAATAATAATAACAGCACATATCTATTGTGAATCCTCCGAGATTTGGGTGTTTTGTTTTGATGTGGACAATAATAATAATATTAGAAGTAGTAACAATAATGTAATGTTTGGACCAGATTTCATCCCATCGAATCACTAACTAGGAAGTGGGATTTGTGGACTATCCCATGCCTTACTATTTATTAATTAGTTCATTCAACATCAATCATTTTCACCTTCTTTTGCACCGAAATCATATACAACCAAAAAGTTGAAGAAAATAAATTAAATGATTAAATTTATTAGGACAAAAAATTAAGAAAGAATTGATTGATTAGACCCTTAATTTTTCTTTCCCCTGGTTCTTCTGCGTTATGTTTAGTCTCGTGTCGTTCTTGACTTGCTTTGTTAGGGTTATGGTCACGACACACGTGTGGGTCGCCCTAACCATAATAATCATAACAATAGTGTAATGGTTGAACAAGATTTCATCCCATCAAATCACTAACTAGGAAGTGGGGTTTGTGGACTATCCCATGCCATATTATTAATTCATTCCTCCCTACAACAATAGTGATTGAATTCATAGTATTTACGTGGAAGGAGAAGGGAGAGAAGTATATAAACAAAACAAAGTTTTTGGTGGAGGAGGTTGATATCTCAAAGGGGAACGGAAGAAGAAGACTTGTGGGCGACCAACACGAACATCAACCAGAAGATTAAGTAAATGAGGAAGATGATGATCTGAAAATATGAGGCATACGGAATTGCAGTGGCTATGAACAACGCCGTGACACCCAAAACCCCGCCCACACAGTACAGAATCCGCGACACTCTTTTCAAAATGGACTTGGTCATCTTCCCAAACGCCACAAAACCAAAACACAGCAACAGAGTGAGCGATAGAAAGTTAAACACGCGAGGCAGTTTTTTTTCTATCTGCACGGATACCGTAGCGATGGCTATGACCGACGACACGCAGAATGCCACTATCATCTCCTTCCATTCCTCCACCATCTCTGCAGCTGCCACCGCCGCCTCCGATTGCCCTCCGCCGCCGCCGCCGCCGCCACCTTCTTCTCCATCCTCTAATTCCCACAACCGACGTGCTTTAATGCAATTTTCAAACCAACGCATCTTCTCTCTCTTCTCTTTCTAGTTAGGATCAGTTTCCTGTTCTAGACTGAAATATAAATGTAAAACGGAGCTCCTCCATGAGACCATTTATACGACTACCACATGCTTTATACGAAGTGGTTCTAAGCGTGTTATTGTGATTATTATTATTTTTTTATTTTCATACCATGATTTACTTTCGAGGATATCTCTTTTTTAAATAATATATTTTTCTTTTTTAGCTATACACTCTTCTACCATATTTTATTTTTGGAGTTCATAATTGTAAATGATGTGCATTATGTAAGAATCCTCCAAATTTAAATAGTTATAGTTGATATTAGAATTTAGGTTTTTGTAGACTTTTGACATAAAAGAATTAGAATTAGCGTGGGTAATCACGCAATGGCCAAACAGCACATTCGGTCACCATTGGCCTTCACAAAAGACCTCGTATCAATGGAGATGTATTTGTTACATATAAACCTATGATCGTTTTCTAAATTAACCAATGTGAGATTCCCTCCCAACAATTGTCAACAATCCTCCCCTCGAACAAAGTACACTATAAGTCTCTCCTTAGGCTTATGGAGCTCTCAAACAGCCTCCCTTTAATCGAGACTCAACTCCTTTCTCTGATGACTTTGACTACATCTTTATTCGACACTTTAGTGACTTTGACTACATCTTCGATGGATATAGTTGATGAGATGATGAGATGCTAAAGCTATGTGTGTGTATGGCTGATTCTTTAGAGAAAATGGAGGCGATGATGTGTAAGAAAGTATACGAACTTTGAGCAACCATTATCGAAGCGTGGTATTAAAATGATTAGTTTAGTTAGATATTGGACGTTAGAGTTGGCAAAGTTGGAAGTTTCAGAGATGAAAGTGCAGGCAATAATTTGAATAAAGTTTAATTTATGGTGTGACTAATACCCTTTTCCAGAATCCCAGGCCATAAAGAGCTTACCATATGCAGCTGCTCTCTCATTTCCTCGACTTCTTTCTTAGTCATCTTTCTAAACCGCAAAATCCAAACCCACTATTATATTAATACATATATATCAAATGAGTGGTAGACCAAAACAAAAGGTAGGGGGATTCATCATCTCCAACTCTATATCCCTATAAACAATGACCCCCTCAAGTCTTTCCACTCCAAAGTTTCGAAGATTTAGAATTTTAGGAGTTGGGGGCTTGGAAAAGTTTTGTAAAAAGCAATTCCAAAAGAAGAGAAAAGGTTATATTCCTTAGCAGACCGAACCACTCGATCACCTCATTAAAATATATAAAGTATACAAGTTTTGGAATTTATGGAGATGGTTACATGCATCGTTGCTCCCCTTTTCTGAGTGCCCAGCAAAAGGACAAACTATATTCTTAATCCAATTATTGCTATTTATATATATACACACACATACATCTAACACACTTAATGGAGCGAATCAGATCATAGATTTTAAACTATCCAACAGTTTTAAAACTTTAACATAATATCTTATTAGTAGTATTCCATGGATCAATTTGTTTTCAACGAGGTTTCGTTGGGTTTGATTTTATTTGAATCTTAAACCGATTCGGAGGATCCCCTGGTTAGAATGTAGGGGTATCTTGAAAATATTTTCAAAGGGATGGGAATGAATATATGGCATTGATATATGGGAAATATTATAATACCCCTATTCATCTCTTCTATATCTTTCGCGACTGAAACATAACTAAGCTACCTATTTATCTCTTCTAATCTTCTAAAATTTAAAAAGGCTATCTTCCCAACCAGTTTAGTACAATAATTAGAGAGAGAGAGTTAGTGGGTCAGTTATTCTTTGGAGGATGAGGTTTAGCGACAAAATAGTCAGCATTAAAAGATACAAGGGTAGATGTTTTGGTATGAAGTAGATGTGGAGCATGATTGAAACCTCTTCTTCTGTAAATCAAGTTTTGATAATGTTGTGGAAAGAAACGATGGAAAGAGTGGATTGTAGTGGGAAAAGTATGGTGATGAGGTTGCTGTTTTACCAATCCCAGATCTTGTTTATCCACCCCCTCTCTTGCCTTTAGTGTTTCAAACCGGGTTTTAAGAGGAGGATAGGTTCTTCCGTATGCAACCCCAGCTACACAAAAACAAACATTACAACAAAAATAAACTTTGCGTGAGAAGCTAATGATGCTACAGAAACAAGATATAAGAAGAAGAGAAAAATAGTGATGAAGAAATGGAGGTTGAATCACCTTGATATTGGATGGAATGAAAATAAAACAAAGCCACCAAAATGATAAAGAGGCTTGTTGCTGTCAGATATGATTCAAAGTATTCAAAAAGATATGATTCATGAGAAATGATTCAAATATTCAAATTACCGAAATTGTTAGTAGATTTGAATTTTTCTAGATTTGGATGATTTACTATTTCTGGTGAAAATTGCATAGACAATAATAAAGTACTGCCGCATTCATTTATTCTATCTGTTCTTATCTCTTTCACTGTCCGTTTTTCTAACAAACACCATAGCCAACTGAAAAAGATAAAGGAGGCTTGTTATATATATACAAGAAAAGAAATTTTTGAAAGGCTTTACATTTGGGGAGTTGGGAAGGGGACACCCTCTTGAAATCTTCCCTTTACCGGCCTTCAATTTTGGTTTTGAGTATGTTGGAAGAAATTTCTTTATTTATAATCATTTACCTAATAAGAAAATATAGTAAATAGTAAATAATATGGAAAAAACATTAAAAAGAATAAAATAATAAATGAATAAAATATATTTTATCCTTTAACAACTCCAACCATAGAATGCGTTTATATTAAAAAAAAAAAAAAAAAAAAAAAAAAAAAAAAAAAAAAAAAAAAAAAAAAAAAAAAAAAAAAAAAAAAAAAAAAAAAAAAAAAAAAAAAAAA